AAGGGCACCTAGAGCGTCATAGAAACTGTCCTTGGCAGATTCAGAGCTACAGTCAGTTGGGGCGTAAGCAGAAACAATAAACAAGGTGCGATGAACCTCACTTCCTCTAGATTCTCTCACCGATGTTGCCAAACGAACCGCACAGAGGCGACTGTTTACGGGTATCCAATCAAGCAGAGACGCTTCCGCTCGTTCGCTCAATACAATACCCACCCCAGCATATCCATCTGCAGCGGCCTCAGCATCACCAGAGGTGCGCAGTCGGAACCTGGAAGAGAGCGAGGGGGTAGTCAGTTCGATTACAGTACTTGCGTCCTGCATCCTTGTTTCTGACAGACAACATACATCAATACAGAGGGAATCCAGCGTACACCCAAGAGCCACCTGTTGACCTGCTTACTTCAGTGTGCGAACATTGAGGGTGGCTGAGTTTACAGGCTTTCGGGATTCGGAAACCGACTTCGAAGTGTTTAGGGTTGTAACTGAACTCTGACGTGCGGAAGCTGCAGCCGAATGTGATGGAGGGCCAGCGAAACGGTCAGTCCTGCAGATGGGGCCTGCAGAGAAAATATTCAAATTTGGGCGAGGGAGGGTGGAAGACGGAAAACGTGAGTGTAAGAGACGCGTCAGTAGAAGCATTACTTCGCTTACCCACCCTGCTCTATGCAACAAGTAAGGCGACCCGGCTGATGGCACCACGTAACGGCCGGTGTGGTTGGATACTGCCAGGGCGCCCACACCTAGACAGGAGGACTATTAGGGTCCTCAACCAAAGCCTTCGGCTCAAAAGCCTAAGCGCGAGGTAGCGGTGTTCGGCTGGAAATGCATGTACATTACCATTTTTACGGAACACGTTGCTATACATGTTCCAACCCCGAACCTGGAAGGCCAGGAGACTATGTTCGTCGGACACCTACACATGGATCAACTTCGTATGAGAGACTCTGAGTGTTGCGCGGACACCCCACAGCATAGCTCAATGGGTCCCCGACGAACACAAACAGCCGCACCATGGTAAGATCCAGTCTTTTCGTGACCGGCTACTCTGGTAAGCTTGGCGGTTATAAATTTCAAGCTGGATCCCCAAAATTTTGCCCAGTACATTAGTGTCAAATAGAACTTTGGACCACCGAGTTTTATTTCTACCAGTATCCCTCGAATCGAAATGAGTTTTCCGAAACTCTGGTGTTTTCGAGGCTACCCGCTAATATGTGTAGCTATCTATGGTCAATTCGTTTCCCGCGAATTATTCGTGTAAGTGGCTTGAGTAGGAGAGTGAATGTTTAAAGTAAGCATAAGCCTTGAATTCGCAAGGCCTAAAAGCCTTTTAAAAAGCTTATCGAAAACAATTTTCTCAACTTGCAGACGAATGCTGCAGGTAATCCCGCAGTTGCTACAACGAGCAAAATTCAAACCTGGTTCAAACCGCCCTCGGGACGGGTTTGTTCCGAACCGATGAAACTTACGTTTGTATTTAAAAAACCTGGTTTTCTGCTGCAATTTCGATCTGTCTCTTCTACAAGTCAAATTTCATGTACGGTGTTCGTTTGATCGCATTCATCGACACCCGACCTCCCCACAACAGTGGGTCTAATTAGTTTCAATTTAAACTATATTTTTGAGGTTAAACTTGTCATTGGCCTCCAATTCCAGTTATTCCACCTCCATCTTCATTTTCGCATTTTGTGACCCTGTAGCGTGGGATGTCAGGAAGTCAGCGGTATTCGACGTTCGAGAGGACGGCACACGTCAGTTCTCTGCCGTGTAAATTAGTGCATGGTGAACGACAGCCACTGACCGACAAGAACAAAA